CCTGCCCCTCAAAAACCAGTAAATGAGTCGCAGATGATGAAAAGGAAAAGGGAGGGGCCTCTGCAAAGAGGCAGGGAGGGAGGGGCACTGTCTTCACCACCTGTGTGGTGTGGGTCTGCTTCAGGCTGGCTCTATTCCCCATCCTTTCTTTGCCCTGCAGAGCTCCTTGGGAATGAAACAAGAAAAAGAAAAGCCTTTTTCTTGTAAGCAACTCCCAAATTTAATCACCCAAAGTCAGCAAACCCTTAAAAAAGGATCCAGAACTGAGAGGTTTGCCTTCCGTCTTCAAATCATCCTGTACACGAATGGCCATTGGGTAACATTTCTAAACCCAGAACTGACCAAGTCACTCTCTACTAAGAAGCTTCTAAGTCTGCACTGGTTGCAGGATAAAGTCTAATTCCTTAAAACAGAACAGAGCTCAAACTTCACCACCCATGAGAAACACCTGGAGGGCTTGTTAAACGAGAGTGCTGGGCCCTGCTGCAGTTTCTGACGCAGTAGGGCTGGGCACGGCCCGAGCACCTGCATTCTCACACGTCTCTAGGTGATGCTGACATGCTGGGATGGAGACCACACTTTGGAAACCCCTGGTGTAGGATACAAAGTATCTTACCACAGACCTTTTTGCCCTCTAATTTACTACAATCTTCCCTCCCTGTCTCCACACATGCCCAGGGCATCTCCATCTCCCAGCTGATGAAGGACCAGATGTTGTTATCTTTAAAATTTCCCATCCATGGTTGATTGACATTTTGGTAAAATAAAATATATATGAATTACTAGAAAAATGAAATTTAAAAAAAGACATACAAAATACAATCACCCAATTTTTATTATTAAATTGAGCAAACATAAACTTAACTTGTCAAAATGCTATAAAGATGCCTAAATATCTACTTTCGACTTCCATACTTATCACCTCCTTCCCAGGCAGTGTTAAGACTGGCACCATTTCACCCGCCACCTGTGGGCCAGGCAAACCAATGACTGCCCACTGCCCAAAGACAGGAGGCTCCTTCACGTACTCTTCTGCCTGAAGACACTCATTCCCACATCAGAACAAAAGTTATCTCCATGAAGCCAGCCCTAACTCTCCCTGGCACATGAGATGCCAACCCCAGCACTATTCATCCCTCTAGCAAAGCCCGTCTCCTGAGATGCTGGAATCTGTGTCTGTCACTATGCCAGGACTGTGGACTCCACTCAATTCATCTCTGCACAGCTGTGCCCAGGGTAGGATTTAGCATCTAGCCAGTGGGTAAAAATGAATGTTTGCTGAGTGGATGAGTGACAAATATCACCATCTACTTAAGGAGATCTTTGATAGAGCAGATGTTCTATAGACAACTCAGCGTAACAAAGTCAACCAACATATGGAACACCTGTATTCCAGGCCCTGTGCCAGGCACTGGGCACCCAGGGATGAACAAGAACTCAGCCCCGCCTTCAAAGCAGTAGCAAGGGGGCTCTGCAGCAGGAGGGGGGCTTACCAGCGAGGCGGCTTCTCTGCATAGAGGACTGACGCAGGGTGGATGTGCAGTTCATGATCATCACGGATAGTCCTTGCAAAACAGAAGATTTTTGTCTGAAGCACATTCTAAATACTTATAGCAAGACTTTCCCACAGACATTTTTAATATTACCAAAAAAAAAAAAATGCATGCAGATTGAACTTCTCACAAATAAAACAATTCTATCCATCCTCTCTTGTGCCCTTTCTTGATCCCCCACTCCCGTTGCCACCCCAGAAGTCAAGAATAAATCATGTGCAAAGGGAAGAGAAGAAGAACAACATGTGGACACTTGGAAAAAACATTCAGAAATATAACGCTCTACCTATGTTTACGTTTACCTTCTGCAGGTATTCTTTCAAAACAATTTCCTTCGGGACAGAAATAATGTAGGTGGTTTCTTCTATAAGCTTTTCTATTAAACAAAGTTAAATACTAAGGATAAAGACTATAGGGAGAGGTAATAATAGTGAAAAAAACAGCTCAATATTGGACTATTAATTTCTCTGAAATACTGTATTTCCAATTCTAACTCCAGTTAGATTCAACTTAATTCAAAAAATATTTACTAGGCACACAACTATCAGTAAGATCAGATCACAAGGGAACATCAGTAGACCAGGATGTTGCTGCCCAAACCACAGAAAAGGAGTGTTCCGGTGGGTGCCAGGGGCCTGCTGTGCGGGCAAAGTGCTTCAAGCGCCATGAGCGAGCTCCTTGCCGGCACTGTAATAACACCAGGTCCCGGGGTCCTGGCTGTCCCACCAGGTGGTGGTGAGCTGGTCTCAAAGGAATGACTGGCTCTGGAACCTCTTAGGTGGCCCATATTTTTGTCAACATCACTGATGAAAGAAGTTTTAAAATGCTAATCAAAACTGCTAATTAACACTCTTCTTCAAGAGAGAGAGGGCAATCCAGATGACAAGGTGGCGGTACTCACTGGGTGACCTCAAGCCTCTCCAGAGGGGGCTGACCTCCACCTGGGAACAGGTGCCTCAAACATGGACAACTCAATGCGGGGAGGGGGAGCTCTTATGATGAGCAACAGAACCATGACACTGATAGGCTGGAACACTTGGCCTGGAGTAATAAACAGAACACACTAGAAATAAACGTAAAGTGCTACACTTCCATTCCAACAGTCAGCTCCTGGGATATGAGATGGAGCAGACCTTATTACCAAAATACAAAAAGGCTCAATGCAACTCTGGACTTACTAACAGAAGCCCAGTATCCAGGACAAGGGACACCTTGGCTGGCCTCAAGATAACAGGACTGTAATAGCTTTTGAGGGAAAAAAATTAACGACAAAATAGTATGTGGAAGAAATCCAAAGAAGAGTTTGGGAGAAATTCTTTTGATTGTTCCTTTTTCAAGAGCAGAAAACAAGAGCTACACTTTAAACAGGCTACAGTGGAGTTATGAAACTAAAACGAGTCATGGGACAGAAAAGATGGACTACAAATAACAATTCGAAGAACTGGAAGGATTTAGTTTGGAGAAAAGAAGGCTAAGCTGGGCTTTAGTTTTTATAGTATCTTAATACATTAAAGGTTCCTAGGAAGGCATCGATGATTTTCTATGCCTAGAAAATGGAACTGGAAGAAACAGGATGCAGACTGTAGCTGGAGGTACATCCAGCTCGTTGAATAAACACTTGTCAACTTCCAAAGACACCAAATATGGCCACAGTGTACCAGGGTAAGTGGTGATGTCAATCCTGTAGATCTCTAAAGACATAATGAACTACCCAATCTTTGGTAAAAGTAACTTCCCTTGGAAACATCATCTTTAATGGTTTCTTCTAGTCATAGTATTCTATTATTAGAATTGAAACATTACCACCAGCCTCCAAGTGCGTAATTGTTGTCCTTCTAAAACATGCATTACAACATGTAGATGGGCTGAATATTTGAGAACCATTTCCAGAAAGTTAAGATACTTTGCTTAAAGCTATATAGCTAACCTTAACTCAGTTCTGGAAGGAGGTGTGATATAAATTAAAAATAATTATTTAATTTAATTTCTCTACTATTTCTACATATCAGCTTTCTGTGGGGTTTGGGTCATTTTTAAGATTTCTCAGCCGGGCACAGTGGCTCAGGCCTATAATCCCAGCTACTCAGGAGGCTAAGGCAGGAGGATTGCTTGAGGCATTTCAGACCAGCCTAAGCAACATACCAAGACCCGTCTCTAAAAAAATTTTAAAAATTAGCTGGGCGTGGTGGTGCATGCCTGTAGTTGTAGCTAGTGAGGAAGCTGAGGCAGGAGCTTCCACTGGGCCTAGGAGTTCAAGGCAACAGTGAGCTATGATCACACCACTGCGCTCCAGCCTGAGTGACAGGGCAAGGCCCAGTCTTGGGGCAAAAAAAAAAAAAAAAGATTTAACAAATGATTTCACAAAGTATCCTGTTACCTATAAGCTCCCGTAGAATGAAACCTCGCAGCATTTGCAAAGAATCCTGAAACAATGCACTTCAGAACCGGATCTGGATCACCTACACAGGAGCAGAGAGATAAGGATGAGAGAGACCCTTGCCTGTCCTGTGCCCTGTGTGCTCAGGCTGGTGCTGTGATGCGCAGGGTCCAGTCCTAGCCCACCCTAGGCTACTTCAAGCCACCTAGAAACCCTCTCCTGAACCAGCCCCAACCCTGCACTTCTCAATGCTGGATGCATCTGAGGACGTTTCCCACCTCCCAGAATGGCTGCTGAAGAGAACAATGCCGGATTGCTCCTTGAACTTGGGGACTCTCCAACCCCCCTCAGCTACAGATGACTGGACCAAGGCTGGGCACCAGAACCTAAGTAAGCTACGCCACAGGTTGCCCAGGGACCTCAGAACTCCTTGTTAGGAGAGCATCTTGTGGGAGTCATGATCTTTCCATAAGACACAAACAGGCATACTACATACAATGTTATTTCTGTGGTTATAAGCTACAGTGTTTGAAAACTGAAGCAATTTTTCAAATGCTCCATTTTAATTGGTGTTTCTACTGCTATAGTAAACATTGTGCAAGAATAAAGCTTCCCCATTGCTTACAGAGTATCTGTAGGATACATTCCAAATTACTGTGCAAAAAGATAATGCCATTTTTATGGCTTACGATATACCATATTTCATCAATTTTAAGACTCATTGTCTTTTTTTACTTTTAACTCACTGAAATTAGGATGGCATTTTACAATTATAAGGGACAGCATTTTCTTTCTTTCTTAGTGATACATAAAATAATAGTGTCTTACACATGACGGTATCCTAAATCCAAAGAAATATAGTATGTTGGTAAGTTCATTCCCTAAACGTGGTACCATTTACAAAGCCATCAACAATATATAAAAATGTCAGTTTCACCGAATTCTTACCAGCAATGCTTTGGCAAAAGGGCTACTTTCTTTTAGTTTACATTTATTCGATTACTACCTATGTATTTCTTCTTTTGTGAACTTTTTGTTCCAATCCTTTGATCATTTATCAACTTGAAAACTAATGTTTTTTTTTCTGAATAGGTTAAATAAAACCATTCTATAATAAAGTTTTAAATCTTATTATTTATCTCACAACTGCTGAAAATACCTTTTACTGTTTGCTTTCTCGTTTTTTAACATTTAGATGTTCTAAATTTGTATGTAATTTAATCCCCATGATTTTCTCTATTGTTCCTAAGCGAAGAACTGATAAATCCCAAATCTACATTTCTAATCATGATCTGATCCAAGATTCAGTCGTTCCTCTAGAAATTTCCACATAAAACATGCATTATCAGAGGTGATATAGCTTCCAAAGGATGAAAATCAGTTCTTGAGGGCAGAGGTAGGAGGATGTCTCAGATAGTGCAATGGTCTGGGGCCCTCTGAGCTGAACCCCACCTTACGAAATCATATTCCCTACCATTTAATTTCTCTCATTTAATTTCTTGCCTCTGAGCCTCATTTTTCTTATCTGTAGAATGGGGATAACAGCAGCACAAATTTCACAGGTTGTCATGAGCATTAAATGAATTACATATGAAACATTCAGAATGCTGCCTGGCCGGCCACATAAGCACTCAAGAAATGTTAACAAGCACTAGGGGTACTGAGTACCTGGCACACAGGGGACATTCAAGCCAACTGCTCAAAAAATGAGATGTGTCCCTTTCTCAGAAGTGTGGTCTTCTGAGCTGCACAGATCTGGCTCTGCTCATTCCCAGCTGGGTTGTCCTGAACTTAATTTAACTTCTTCCTAGGACTTCATGACTCATCCATAAAATATGGATAGTATCACCTACCATTCACAGAGCGGGAGATTAGGGAGAGAGTATTTGTAGGACCCCTGCCACATGTCCTCTATTAATGGTTAGTGCTGGAGGCACTGTCTTATACAGTACTTCTCTGCCTCACCCATACGGACTGCCTAGGCTAAACACACAGCACATGGCTTTAATAATACTTTATTTGAAAATAAAATGTAATATTTATTTAATAGCCATAAATATCATCCACTTAAAAGTAATTTTTCTTGCAAAGCCTACATGGGAAAGTCACTTATATGATGTGCAATGATGTGAATGTTAACAATTCTTAAGTGTTGTCATGGGCTATGAAATTCCTCTAGTAAGAATATCCCTCAGAAATAAAAATGAACTTCCTTGGAAAAAATATGCAACTTTACATTCAGCTTTCAGCTGATTCAGGGCAATTCAAAATGTGAAACCTGGTGTAGGTACAGAACACACCATGCTGCCTTGCACCAGCCTGGCACAAGAACTTGGAGGATGCAACCAAACAGCGAAGAAGGGAAGTCCCCAGCTGTGGCAGCTTATTCTCACCTTCGCTAGACTTCTTGGGCACTTGAAACTTGACAAGAAGCTTTTTCAATTGTTCTCGTACAGTCGCAGCTCTGACAAGACCCTTGTAATTCAGGAAATGTTCCTGACACCACTGAGAGTTCTTATTGTGCTACAGAACAACCCGGACAGAGAGAGTTAGAAAAACACAGAATGTTCTCGACTAACGCTATATTGTGAAGATAACTTTTCTCTTTCCCCATTTTTCTGTTCAATGGGATGAGATCTTCAGATTGTAACTGACTCTTTTTTGCTCAGTATCTCAAAACAGATGTTAACCACTGCGCACACATCTGATTGCACTGCAACCTCCCTCTCCTTACTAAAGGGCAAATGAGAACTTAATGACAAGCAGAGTCGTTTTCAATCTTAAATACCTACATGAGACGTAAATCATTAGAAAGAATCAGTTCCCTGTGGTTCTTTGTAAATCAACTTTTCTTATTTGGTATGTTTTAGTTTACCACTTTATTACACTATGGGTAAGCAATATGACACCTGCCAATATAGAAATAATTTGCAAATTATTTTTTCCCCAAAGTATGATTTTTCTCTCAACAGTGTTTGATTTTTTCTACATTCTTAAGTATGATCATTATATCTGGATGAAATTTTGTCTCTGTGAGAATATACCTCTGAAATTATATTCTAAACCAGGGAAGAAACTGTTTTAAATACAAGATTTTCCAGGAAGGCAACGACAGAATAATACAATGTAGACCTATACCTACATTCTACTGGTAAAGAAAGCTTTAGACCGGAGATGATATATTGTGCTTATACAAATGAATTTTAACTGATTGAATCCATAAGACTCATAAGTTTTTCTAAAAATTCTTCACTAACTGAATAATCTTCCTCAAATCTCTGATAGAACAAAAATTTAGTACTTCCCACTTCTAAAAATATATTTAAGAAATGATTTAAGAAATGAACACTGGAAATGTGAAATATCATACCCTTTCCTGTATAGGTTTCTTTTTTCATCATCAGCTTTAGATCTCCCTTTTTAACAATTTGTAGTGAGAACTTTAAGCTGTATTATTTGCTCTTAGTTTTATAGAATATAAAGAATAAAAATCAACATTGCCCATGGCTACATATAAGCAGGAGATGTGAATACACACAAATCCACACCCAAATGTCTTCCCATGGCAGCTGGGACAGCCTTGAAGATTCAACCCAAAACTATAAGTTGTTCTCAGCCTCATTTATCTAGCAGAAAATATAACAGAATTTTCTACTCAAATGTTGCTTTTCTGTCTAATAAACAGTGGATTTGAGATATTTTGAGGCAAAGCCTGGAGCCTGCTGCCAGTGTACCATAGCTCCAGGCATGGGAAAGCAATAAGCAATTCCTGTGTTCTTTCCAGCAGTATGGCACCAGAAACCCAGGCAGAAAGCCCCACCCACCAACTAGAAGTACTGGCAATAAGTCTAATAAGAAAATAAAGGGGTCTTGTGGCCATTCCTTTATGAACTGAACTTCTGGGATCCTCACTCCTAGATCACCTCAAGTGAGTATGTACGCTGAGGGGGCCCTTTGAGCAGTAGCTGTGCTTACTTTGATAAATGCTTCGTACACGTTGAGCATAGTGAGGTGATCACCCTCCTCCACAGCAAATTTACGGTGCACTCGAATCTGGAAAGAACAAAGCAATGTTTAGAAGTTGACTCCTGTGAGCCCCTTTGCCAGGAAGTAACACTGCATGATGAATAGCATATGGGTTGTGGATTCAGAAAGATCTGGTTTGCACCATTCTAGCTCTGTGGTATCTTGAAAGCCCTCAGATTGGTTATTTATCCTTTCTGGACCTCGACCTCCATTTCCTTATCTGTAAAATTGGGAAATCAAACCTCTCTATCAAGATTGCTGCAGATCAAGATAATTTACCGCTAAGTACTTGGCACAGAAATCTGATAAATGTTCCTTTGTCTCTCTCCTCCTCGATCCAGTTGGTATCATCTCTTTCATGTGAACGCCTCCCAGCCCCTGAAGGAATGCAGGCTCCAGAAGGGCGGCGGCCGACTGTTTGGCACATGGGAGACACTGGATAATTCTAGGCTACCACTAGCTGCACAATCCTGTCAGACCCCATCCTTGAGTTTCTCTTTCTGTAACATCCAGAACAATGCCATATGCTCCCATGGGTTAAAGGAGCAGCATATACAACATACACCCAAGTACACAGATACAGCCATGCATCAATGGCAGGGATTCAATCCAAGAAATGCGTTGTTAGGCAATTTCACTGTTGAGTGAACACCAAAGAGTATACTTACACAAACCCCTACACACCTGGGCTATAGGGTACTGCTCCTAGGCTACAAATCTACACAGCATGTTACTGTACTGAATACTACAGGCAATGGTAACACAATGGTAAGTATTTGTGTATCTAAATGTATCTAAACACAGAAAAGGCACAGTAAAAATACAGTATTATTAATACAATCTCATGGGACCACCATCATATATGGGTCCGTTGGTGACCAAAATGTTGTTATGCAGCACACGACTGTATATTAACTTCAGAATTTTATCCTTGAACCAAATACCACATACTCTTCCTCCCTTCTTCCCTTTCACTGATTCATTCACAGATATTCACCAAGCACCCACTGTAGACCAGGCACTGTTCTAAGCATATCAGCTGGCAAGAAGCACTAGAAGAGAAAAATAAGCAGGGAATGGAGACGGGAAGGGGGGCTATATTGCAATTTTAGACAGAGTGGTCAGAACTTCTGTTTTTTCATCTTTAAAGTGAGTTTCCTTGCCCTGAAGTAGGATTGTTAAAAAGAATAATTAAAAAAAAAATGAGAAAATGGACATAAGCATCCGGGCACAGAGGCAGGAAAACTTTGTAACTACAGTTATACACAGTGAGGGAAGAGCTCAACAATCCGTAAGAAAGTCTCTCTCCTCCTTGCCACACATCCAAATGCAGCCCCTTCATGCACAAGGCTGCTGCCTGCTCCTCCAGCTCTTCCAACAGGAACCGACTTTGAACTCACCTGTACCCTACCTCAGTCACCACCGCACTCTGACATTCTCTTCAGCATCATGACTTTTCCTTCATAGCCTGTCCAGCATTCACTCTTTCAGTCATTGCTGATGCCTGTGCCTTCGGCAGGGTCTTGGCATCTCTTACACTCAAAATGTCCCACCTGCAACACCACCATGATGCAGTGTCCTGCCCAGAATCAGCCTGCATTGCCCTGGCACCTGACTTCTTATGTCACTAACATCCCCACCAAAGTTTCTACCAGAGCAGCCTGAATGAAAACTTCCCATACGGAAAACTGGAAGTCAGTAGTTCAGTGGTTAAGGTCTGGGACTTTGGACTCTGAAGCCAACTTCGCCAACTTTGGCTGTGCAACCATGAATGAGTTACCTAATCTTTCTTTGCTTCCATCTTTAAAATATGATAACAGTATCTACCTCCCAGGTTTATGGTGAAGATAAAATGAAATGATGCCTGTGAGATGCATGGCACAATGTCAGGCATACAGTAAACACTCAAAATGTAAGCTGGTATCATCTGCACAGCTTCGTCGTCACTGGTTCCTGGGCAGAGTTTTAACAAGGAAAGCTCGAAGTGAAAGAGACTGACTGGTACCAGCAGCTGGGGAGAAAGATGGACTTACTGCCTGAGACTTCTGGTTTGAGGGGACCACAAAGATATTCTGGATCTGCATCATGGCTGCAATGCTTAATATTTCCTGAGAACAGCCAAAATTTCCTATAAAACAAAAAGCATGTTTCGTTTCAAGCATACATTGTGTCAACGAGGAGTGAAAGACATTTTCCCATATTTTCCTTGCACCATACTATAAACTAAGGTCATATATTTTATATAGTTTAATTTTTTAAGCTTATAGTATATAAACATTTCAGTACATCAAATGGAATGTCCTATATGTGACCCAGATGAACAGTAGCTTCGCAGGACCCTGAGAAAGGAGCTGCTATTCCACTCTGCAACTATAACACCAAGGGACTCTGCTATAAGCCCAGGTGGGGTCCAGACTGTCCCGTCACAAAGGGCAGGTCAGCTCCACACTGCTCCCTACTCTCGTGTAGACATCCTGGCAGTAAGCCTGAGAGAAAAAGGGGACAGGGAATATATGGGTTGTGTCCCTTCTGCTGTTTTGCTGCTCCTGGACTCTTTTATGAAGTGGCCTCCCTCTCAAAAGGGCTCATCTCAGCTGGGAAGCCCGAGGCACAATTAGACCAGGACAGCACTCTGTGGGCTGTTGCTAGCACCTGGCAACAGAGTCAGCAGCAATGGACATCAAGGCATTCAGCAAACAGCACCGCCTGTCCCGTCTCCCCACAGCCTCCTGTTCACGCATGTGCTCCTCCAACCCCACACTTAGACTCCTGTTTTTCAATGTAAAGCTAAGGGCATTTGGTTGTTCCAAAACAAAATTATACTTAACTTTCACCACGCTGGGTCTGAAATACATATTTATAAATGGCCAGTTGATATAAAAGTTAGACAAAAGCAAGAAAATATTATCTTTCCTGGGGTAGGGGGAAGACACACTAGACTGTCTAGATGATTGTGATTTCTAATTACGAAAAGATCTCCAGGTTATATACACTTTTATCCTAGAACTCACGTCCTCACAAAAATCTGAAGGAGTCAGAGAAATCGGAAGCCTTGTGCATTGCTGGTCAGAATGCAAAATGGTGCAGCCACTGTGGAAAATAGTATGGCAATTCTTCAAAAAAATTAAAGTTAGTACAGCCATTTTGGAAAAGAGTGTGGAGGTTCTTCAAAAAGCTAAAAGTAGAATTACTATATGATACAGCAATCCTACTTCTGGGTATATATCCAGAAGAATTGCAATTGATATGTCAAAGAGATATCTACACTTTCATATTCATTTCAGCATTACTCACAATAGCCAAAATATGGAAGCAACCTAAGTGTCCATCAGTGGATAAATGAATAAAGAATATGTGCTGTGTGTGTATATACACAATGAAATACTACACAGCCTTTAGAAAGAAGAAAATTCTGTCGTTCTCGACAACACAGATGGAGCTAGAGGACATTATGCTAAGTGAAATCAGCCAGGCACAGAAAAACAAACACTGTATGATCTTCCTTATATGTGGAATCTAAAAAGTTGACCTTCCAGAAACAGGGCTGGGGGAGGATGGGGAAAGGGAAGATGTTGATCAGAAGGTATAAAATTTCAGTTAGACCAGAAGAATAACTTTTAGTCATTTATTACACTGCATGATGACCACAGTTAATAATGTATTATTATAATTTCCAAATTGCTGAAAGAATAGATTTTTAATGTTCTCACCACAAAAAAATGGTAAGTTGGTAAAGTGGTGGGTATGTTAATTGGCCTGACTGAATCTTTCTGCCATGTATATATAGATCAAAAGATCACATTGTACCTCATAAATATATACAATTATTGTCAATTAAAAATAAATTTTTAAGCACTCTGGGAGGCTGAGACAGGAGGATGGCTTGAGGCCAGGAGTTCGAGCCCAGCCTAAGCATGAGCAAGGACCTGTCTCTACCAAAAATTGAAAAAAATTAGCCAGGTGAGGTGGCAATCACCTGTAGAACTGGCTACTCAGGAGGTTGAGGCAGGAGGATTGCTTGAGCCCACGCGTTTGAGGTTGCTGTGAGCTAGGATGACGCCCTGCATTCTAGCCGGGGCAACAGAGTGAGATTCTGTCTCAAAAAATAAACAAATAAAAAATAAATAAAAATTAAAAAAAAAAATTTTTTTTTAAATTTAAACAAAGAATTACCATATGATTTAGTAATTCCACTTCTGGGTATATACCCAAAAGAAATGAAAGCTGGGACTATGATGCCAAAAGGTAGAAGCAGCCTAAGTGTCCATCCACAGATGAATGGATAAACATAATATGGTATTATACAAAGACAGTGGAATATTATTCAGCCTTAAAAATAAAAGAAATTTTGATACACATCACAACATGAATGAACCTTGAAAACATTATGTTAAGTGAAATAAGTCACTCACAGTTATGACTCCACTTATATAAGGTTCCAAGAGTAGTCAAATTCCTAGAGACGGAAAGCAGAATGGTGGTTGCCAGGGGCTGGGGGTGGAGGGTTAATGTTTAATGAGTACAGAGTTTCAGTGGGGAACATGGAAGAAGTCCTAGAAATGGACGGTACTGCTGTTGCACAATAATGGGAATGTACTTAATGTCACAGAATTATATACTTAAAAATGGTAAATTTTATGTTAGATATTTTTTTTTTAATCACAACTGTGCCCTCTTCCCCAGGGTGCTCAGAATTCAGGGAAATAACTCCTCTGGATAATCCAAATGAAATCAACGTGAGCTATCAGTCTCCACCCACCTGATTCAAGCAGCATTTTGGCAAACATGGGATTCAAAGGAAACTCTGCTATTCTCATGCCAAGCGGTTCGGTTAGGCGACAGTCTTTGTCCAGACCTGCCATAAGAACAACAAAAGAAATCAGAAGGCATGTACCATTGTGCTGGAAGATGTACAGTTGTTAAGAGAATAAAAGATGATGTATGTTCAAATGAAGGTATCCAAAAGACGATTCATGCACTAGCAAACTCAGTCTGACACCAGAGTGCTGTTACATAAAAAGAAGAAAAGATCTCCACTGAGCTGTGAATATCTAATTTTAAAAAACTAATACTTCTAATGACTTTTCAAGGATTTAATTAGAAGGAAACAGCCTTGCGGCCTTCTCTTGCTCCCACTCTCCTTCATCCACAACAGCCTCACTTTGTTCTCGCTACTCATAGAGACTGCTCTTTCCAAGAGCCCAACAACTAGGCAGTGCCAAAAACAAAGACCATCTTCCTTCCGGTCTCCGGCAGCATCTGACTCTGCGACCACAGCTCCCATGACCTCCTGCTCTCCTGGTTCTCTGCCATCTTCCTTGTTGTCTCCCCTCAGTCACCGTCTGGATCATCTCCCACGTCCATGACCCAACAGGCCACAGATGTGCCAGAATGGTATCCCATCCCTGTGCTCTTCTCATACGACATGAGCAAGTATAAGGCCAGCAACTCAGAATCTAAACGCTAGCCCAGGTCCCTCTGGAGCCAACACCAGACCTGTCTACCCACCTGCCTCCTGGACAGTCGTGAACTGGGCTGACTCCTCCAATTCCCGACCTTCCCTCCTTGCCTCTCCACCACCTGCCAACATCCAGGTATTGGATTCCAAGACCCTCAAAATATTGACTATCGTTTTCCTGACTAAAACGAATGCTGCAAGAGTTTAGAGTAAGACAAAAAAGGTCATTTCTCTTCTGTTCCAATATAATCATCTCTTTAAAGTGATAATTCAGCTTGAAACTAAATTATATTGGGGGTTTCCTGCTACCTTTTCCAGCTTACTAGGGCAGTGAAGAAATAGGAGATATTTTGAAATTCATTGTTTAACTGGAGAAAAACCAGCTTAATGAAAAATTCCTATGAAGCCAATGTTTTCTCATCCTCATTTCAGATTATCCCAGGAAACCTTCCTTTCAAGTGCCTATTACTTGCTCAAGAACAGGGAACAGAAACCTATTCTAATACACACTCGCTCTGGGCTAATCTTATGTAGACCCAGCAGAAGGCCTTTTAAATCACTGGAGATCTTTTAAAGCAATAATTGGCTATTCCTTCACAGAGAAGTATCATAAATACAATGAATGAAGAAGGACCTCTACTTTACCTCACACCACAATATTAACTCGAAATGGATCACAAACCTAATGTAAGGGCCAAAACTATAAAATTCTTTAAAGAAAACCTAGGAGTAAATCTTAATGACCATATGACCATGGATTAGGCAACGGTTTCTTAGAAATGACACCAAAAGCACAAATGACAAAAGAAAAAACAGATAAACTGAGCTACACAAAAACTTAAAACTTTTGTACCGCAAACAATACTATCAAGTAAGTAAAAAGCCAACCCACAGAAATGGGAGAAATATTTATAAATCACACATCACATAAGAATTTGTACCAGAATATATAATAAATTTCAATTCAATAAAAAAAGGACAATAATACAAATAAAAATGGGCAAAGGATTTGAATAGAGTTTTCTCCAAAGAAGATAGGCAAATGGCCAATAAGCATATGAAAAGGTGTACAACATCATGAGTCATCAAGAAAATGCAAATCAAAACCACAAGATACCATTTCATATCCACTAGGATGGCTAAAACACAAAAGACAGATAATAACAAACGTTGGCAACAATGTGGAAAAACTGGAACTCTCATTGGTTGCTAGTGGGAATGCCCACCAAAAACTTGTATGCAATAATATTCTTAGTAGCATTATGTATATAGCCACAGAGTGGAAACAATCCAAATGCCCATTAACTAATGAACAGATAAAAATAATGTGGTATTTTCATACAACAGAATATTATTGAGCAGTAAAAAGGAATAAACTACCAATACATCCTACAACATGGAGGAACCTTGGAAACATCATGCTAAACGAAAGAAGTGGCTATAGTCTGAATGCAGTTTGTCCCCACCAAAATTCATGTTGAAATTTGATCCCCAATGTGGCAGTGTTGGTGGGGCCTAATGGGAGGTGTCTGAGTCACGGGGGCAGATCCCTCACGAATAGATTAACGCCCTCCTCAGTGTAAAGGATGAGTTCCCACAAGAGTGGGTCATTAAAAGAGAGTCTGGCTCTCTCTCGCTTCCTCTCTCACCATGTGATCCCTACACATGTCCATGCCCCCTTCCGATTTCTGCCATGACTGGAAGCAGCATGAGGCCCTCAACAGATGCAGCTGCCCAATCTCGGACTTTTCAGCCTCCAGAACCATGAACCAAATAAACATCTTTTCTTTATAAATTATCCAGCCTCAGGTATCGTGTTATAACAACACAAAGTGGACTAAGACAGAAGCCAATTTAAAAAAAAAAAAAAAAAAGACCACATATTATACAATCCCATTTATATGAAATGTCCAGAAGAGGCAAATCTACAGAGATAGACAATGTCTACAGTGATAGAACCAGATTAGTGGTTGCCTGGGGTGGGGGGTGGAGGACAGGGAATGGGGAGTGAGTGCTAATGCGTAAGGGGTTTCTTTTCTGGGTGATAAATGTGTTCTAAAATTAGATTGTGGTGACAGTTGCACAACTCTGTCAATATACTAAAAGCCACTGAATTATACATCACGAATGAGTGAATTGTATAGTATATATAAATTATACTTTAATAAAGCTGCTTAAAAAAGAGTAGCACTCAGAATAAATCTCAAAAACCAAAACCACTAAAACTTAATACCAAAGTGAATATTAAATTCAGTTGGGGCACCATTCACAGAAGAGACAGTACTTCGTAAAGAGGTGGATTCAGGCTACGATTTTCTCTATCTTACAATAAATGCTACATTTTCAAACAACAGTAAATAGAGGTTCCCTGATAACATAATGTTTCCTTGCCCAAGCAATAACATAAGCTGGTAATGTACCCAATTCTCCACAGACAACTCCAGGAATGAAGTGGAGTTAGGGAAAGAAACACTGAGCCACAGGTTCAAGATGTGGTGGGAGGGACGGAGAAAAAGGTCCGAGGAGGTAGCATCTGGAATACTGGTAGGGAATTGCCAATCTCTGGCTGCCTCTTAGGAGTGTGGCCCTATGATGGTTATTAATAGCTTTTGATGAACTGGCATGCTGTTATAAACTCACTGTCGTAATTGTCCATCATGTTCTATGAGTCTAATTGGGGTCCCAACTTCTTATTTCAATAAAGAGTATCGTTAAGAGGATTATATATACAAGGAGAACCAATCCTATTCCTAAAGACACTAGGAGCCTTAAGTGAATGCAACCTAATATCACATAGGAGAACACATAATAAAAGAGAAATAGGCGTACCTCCCAGAGCATAGAGTAACTCCAAAGCTTGAACCATCGACTGTGCTGGAGGGGGCTGTAAATAAAACAAAAATCCCCCTGAATCAATTTCTTTTGGCAACAGACATAAAAATGTAACCATTTCCTGCTCAAATCCACTCTCTCCTCTAACATCCCCATGCTTCCCAGCCTGCAGGCTTCTGCTCATGCTGTTACCATCCCTTTTCCAGCCTTCTCGGTACCCTTAGTATGACACAGCCTGTAGGCTCAGCTTGATTATAAACGCTTCCCCTGAAGCCCTCCCTCAGCCTCCCCTCCATCAGAAGCGATGGGTCCCTACCTCAAACTCCCTCCTCACTTCCCCTAAACTCTCCTCGACATTTCTAAGTTTCATTTCACAGGCTCAACCTTCGACCACACTGGGAGCTCCAGGATACTACAGCACTGGGAGGACTTATCTCTGCATCACCCAGAGCCCCACACCAGGCCTTGCCTATGGTGGGTGAACAGCATATGTAGAATTTGAATTGCTGAAAATAACAGAGAATGCTAGAGAATCCGAAGTTAAGCAAAGCTGATGCTGTGACCTTCAGTCTGATTCTCTGGATCCACACCGCCTCCTTTCTTTCCACAAATCTTTACTGAGCACCTACTAAGTGCCAGGCATTGTTATTTTCTTCTAAGTTATTGGTTTCTATAAGCCAGGTAAAATTATAGTACTTTTTCAGACTGCATAGCTTTTTTCCTAAATGCATTCACATAATCAATGTATTTGAAGCATTGTACTGTTTCAAGTCAATTTTTACAGATGAGGAAAGTGAATAAAAGTAAGTAAAAGACATTTGAACAAGCTCATATATGCAGGTGATGGCAAAACCGGAAGCTGAACTCACCTTATTTTTTCCACTCTACCTCCCCCACTTTGTTTGCCAAGGAACAAAATAGAACTTTCAAAGTTGTAATGATGGCACACACTTACGAGGGCAGAAATTATCTGATTCATTACACAGAGAGTATTCAACAAATCACTGTTGAGCAAATCATGTAAGTGATCCACAAGACTCTCTCCTCAGTGCCACGAAATCTTTCTTTATAAAGAGCCAAAATGTACAACACCTAAATGGAGGAGCTTAAACTCTCTGGGGATCTCTCATTATATGAGATAACAGGAATAGCAAAGCTAGGAATTAGTTTATAACAACTACAGAACAAAACTAACAAGATCCTCTTTGACTCCTGTAAATCCCTGGCCCTATTTCCAGTCAATAATCACCAATCAAAAAAGTTTACAACCCATTTACTGTATGTTTTCCTGTTTTCATTGTCGCTTGTACCCAAAGCAGCTTCACACTAATTACTTGGGGCAGCTGCATACACTCCATCATGGTCACACTTCACAAAGAAGTCGATTTTCTTACTCCTGGGCAATTGAGTTGCTTCCAGTTTTTCACAACTGTGCATAACACTGCTAAACGTACAAAATCATATGTACCCTGGGATTTCAACTATAAAAAATACAATTTCAGGGGAAAATAACCAGAAGGGACTATACGAAGATGAACTTGTATGTTTTTTTTTTCATTTTTCAACTGTCTGAAAGTTTTGTTATTTATAAATTTAATATAAAATAATGCTATAAGCATTATCATATATGAAAGCTCTTTTCAATTGTTTTTTCAAGAGAAATTTCTATGAGAAAAAATAGCAAGTATTTCTATGGCTCGTTAAATATTATCAGAAAGTCCTGCATGAGGACAGAAACAGAGTATAAAACCACCAGCAATACAGGAAGAATTTACTTTCCCAAACTGTGTCAGCTTTGGATTTCATCATTGTTTATAGCTGATTATTTAATTAGTGCAAAGGCATCCTCTACAGCTATCTCAGCTCTAGGAGAACTTCTCTCTCCTAGAGAAGCTCAACGTGTCCTAAAGTCAGTTTACAATTTGTGCTATTTCCTTCCCTTAGCTTTTTCTTAGTGGATGTTTGATTTACTCTAAATGGTGTATGTATGAAAAATCTTCGTACTTTTTGAGATAGATATTTATCTGTCATTTCTGCCATTATATGTTTTCCTTTAATCTTACATGTGAGGCTTTTCATAAGCTTTTAAATTTGCATATACTGTTCATCTTTTCTTTACAGTATCTTTGACTGTACACCAATAATCAAAGGGTATGTTTTCTCTGTACTTAGGGTAAGCACACAACTATTTTCTTTGGAGGGGTTGGTATTTACACATTCTGTTCTTTCATTCACCTAGTTTACCATGACATATGACATTAGGGACTTTATTGTTCAAGAATCCACACCTGTCATACAATACCAACACAGTTAGGATAGAACAAAGAGTTAAAATGCAAGTTCTCAAATCATAAAAATTCTAGAAGGAAATATGAGTGAAGATGTATTAACTGACATAGATAAAAGAAGTGCTTCATAATCAGGCACAGTGGCATGCACCTATAATCCCAGGTACTCGGGAGGCTGAAATGGGAGGACTGCTTGAGCCCAGAAGTTTGAGACCAACTTGGGCAACACAGCAAGACCCCACCTCAAATAAATTTAAAAAAAAAGAAAAAAGGAATACTTTAGAAGCACAAGAATAGTATAAAGGCAAAGACAGAAAGATTTTACTGTAGATATGTTTAGAATGTGTGCACATTAAAAAACAAAAAGCCAATAAAATACAAATAACAAAAAAATAGCAAAAAATACTACAAAGGTTGATGTCTTTAAAGGACTCTTGGAAAGTCACTAGTAAACACTAATCCTAACAGATAAATGGCTTAACAATTCAGAAGAATTAAAAAATGGCAGATTAAAAATTTACCTTATGAAAAATCCAAAAAAAAATGGTAACGATAACATCCACTCTCTCTCTGGGCAGTCAAATTAGCAAAGCTAAAAGAAACAAACATGGCAGGACAGGAACACCATGAGCTGGACATTCACGCACTGCTGGAGCTGACACAGTACAGCAATCTGGCTGAGTATCGAGAGCTATGACAACAGGACTACAGCCCTTTGACCCAATAATTCCACTCACAGAAACCTGCCTCAGGAAATAAGCAGACGTGCAGTCAGCCATGGGGTCTTCCTGCAGCTCTACCAAAGCCCTCGCGGCTCCCCCAGTCGTGGGACATCTAGGCCCTCTTGCATCTAAGCCTACACACAGACTTGCTATGCTGGAACTCTCCACCCCTCCCGACCTGGTGAAATCCTACTTGGATTTCAGGTTTCACCTCAGACATGATTAACAAGGCCGGGGGCTCTTCCTCTTAAGCACTGGGCACAATGCTCTATAATTACCCACTTATTTGTCTCTATCCCCCAGCAGGCAAGAACAGGAACTAGGTAAGAATGTGAATTGTGGCTGCCTTATCTGGCTGTTTTCCCCCATGCCCTGCAAAGTACACACAACACATGACCTGAGTGGGGGAAAAAGGAAAGACGGCATGCCCCACAACAATGTCCTGACATCCCCCGTGAGCTCTCCTGCCTCCCTGTGGTCCCAGACAGCACACAGGTCTTACCGACATGAAGTGGAACCTGAGGACATTGTCAATTCCCAGTGCTTTCAGCTGCAGGATGACAGGTGCCAAATTGCTACGCTGCATCTCAGGAACAGTAGATTCGGGCAACTTGTCAAAGGCTTCCTCTGAGGAAAGGAAATCAGAACTGTTTGGGATCAAATGTCACAATCAAATGCAATCATTGTGCCAAAGGGACAGTTTTTCTTCTGTACCTTGAACAAGAGCTCTAGGATTCTAGGAGCAGATGCATATGATATTATAATATAATGTTGTTTTTATATTTAAGAAAGATCATTCTATTTAAAAAATGCTTTCGATAAATATATTCGAACAATACACCTTTATAAAAGTTTGTCTTTTTACTTTAGAATGCTGTTTTTCAAGTGCTTTTGTCAGCAAAACATTAAACCAAAACAACAAGTGTTTGTTGACTCAGCATCACTGCCCAGCTACCAGCATGTCTGCTTGGGGTAGAGAAGTCAAGGAGGTAAGAACTGCACACGTAAGCTAAGGGCAACTTCGAAATAGCTCACCAAAATAGCAACCAAAATACAACAAATGACCAAATCTTATAAAGAGCAAAAATTGTCCAAATCTAACTTTTTAAATCAAATGAGCCAGACACTCAACATCACACCCAGAATCAGATGATGCCCCAAACAGATTAATGAATGTTTACACACCTCATCCGGAACAAAAGGTGACCTTAAACAGGAACACACATCACAAGACACAGAGATCCCAAGATGGGAGGGGCAGAAAAGGGGGTGGGAAGAGGAAGAGACCTCAGGAGCCTCTTTATAAAAGCTAGGCAAAAAGGGTGGGGGCGGGGGGGAAGAGGAAGGAAGAGATTAAATTATTTTCGTATATATTCATAAAGCTTACGGATTACACAGAGAATGCGCCACCCCTCTCACATCAGTCAACATTTGAGCTGATGCACACCCTTCTT